TATAAATATAATATTTTTTAAATAAGCAAAAAAGACTTACTCTGGGACATCTTTCCAATTGTAAGGGCATAGTTCAGAATTGCGTTGAGCGGTTCCGTAGAAACCAATACGAATAGGGAAGCGCAACCCACCATCGACAAGCTTACAACGGTTGGTTCTCTCATAGGAATCATGATTGGAATCTGGGTTGGAATTAAAATTTTTATTAAAAAAAAATAATAAAATTAATATGAATATAAAATTAAAATATTAATTCATACAAATATAAATTCTATTTATAAAACATTTAGTATAGAAGAACAAAGTGTTAGAGAAGTCTAGTTTTGTTTAAAATCAGCCCTTTGTTTTTACCACCATCGAAATCATCAAACAAATCTTTTAATTATAATTTTTCAACTTTATAAAGTTCAAAATGAATATTTAATACTATTATTTGTCATAGTAATTATATTAGAATCGTATAAGAATCTCATATGATCCTTCAATGGATTCTAATTTTGAAAAATATTACTAGCAATTAGATTGTATTAGAATTCATCTTTCGCCTACAAATGATCGTTCGAAGTTCGAATTTGAAAAAAAGAGGATGATAGAAAGAAATTTGAAAAAAAAAAAAGGTAAAATGTGATTGTTTAAACTTACTTCAAAACAAAGTTTAAAAATTATAAATTAACAGTATCCTTAAAAATGGATAAATTGAATAAATGTTCTTATTATTTACTGATACAACATTATTATAATAATGCATAAATTATTAAACATTCTTATGAAATTATTGCTCTACATGTAAGACTAATAATTGAGTTGTATATATACATAATAATGCATCTCAAATGAGCTAAATATAATAAGTAATTAAATATTTTGAATTACTATTTCAACTTATTTATTCATGTTTCAAACATCGTAATATGATGGTAATCTTATTATGGATTATATTAACTTATTTTTAAATTGTCTGAATGGCCTGATTATTGATATCACAAAACAAATATATCATATAATGCAAAAAACAATGAAGGTAAACAAACATATCAAGCAATACGAGAAACAAATGGGATTAAATACAATTCTCTTTATATCATTATTCAAACAAATATGAATACAAGAAGTCTGTATTTTAAATTTACCTGTTATAATCGTGTTCACAATACTTGATTAATCTCTGATTTGTCACTTTACACTGAAACAAATGACACCAACAACATTTTACATATTATACTGATAATGTTACTTGATTAATAAACAATATTGGATCCACATTACAACTCTACTTATTAATCGTTTTGTAATAATTTTATAAATTACCTTTCTAATGAAAAACGCAATATTTTAATCATTGCACTCAAAAAAAACATTTCTAATCTGAAAATCTTTTCTTTTTCTACTAAACATAATATATTAGTCAACATGAAGACATCTATTTTCTACTGATTATTTCTTGTTCTAACGAAATATATACTTACTACAGCAAATGTTTAATCAGCATCATTTTGCATTAAAAATAAAAATATGATAGCAATAATAAATTTAAAACATATATATTATCTATTATATATTACATTTCAATTGGAATTTTGTCACATTTAGGTACAGGGGTTATATTTCAATCTAACACAGAAATATATGTTTTCATATAAATTCGTAATCAATCTCACATGTATATATGGCACAATCAATTACAAACCCTTATTGTAATAAACTACGTTGATGGGCATTTAACATGGCACCCGTCCTGGCTATTGATTACCTCCTGAAAAAAGATAGACATACAACATAAAGATTATTTTACATACTATAAGTATTTCCAAATGAAATGTTAAAAAATGAATTTTAGACAGACTAAAGTACTTTTAACCCCAACTATAATAATATGAATAATAAACTGCATGATTGCAATGCATTAGTTGTATTTTATAAAAACGGTAGAGAATTGAACTACGAAATATATTATAAAATGAGAAGACATTCTTATTTTATTACAATTATTTTTCTTCTTCAAAATTACCTGAAGTTCACATTCAAGTCTGTTCACAGGAATGCTGGCTCTTTGTTCGAATAGAGCACAACACAAGGGCGTTGCGAATGTTAAGAAAAATCCAACCAATCCTGAAAAATAAGATAAAATTATTATGAATTATATAGAATATTTTTTTTTGTGTACAGACAGTTACATATTTTAAACATAATTCAAAATTTTTCATATAATGATCTAAACTGAGCAAATAATTGAGGAACGCTAATTAATAAATTCCGAAATTTCATTGCATATGAGTTTTATACTGCTGTTTATAATTAATATTCAATAATAATTATAATTTATATTATATTATATTGACAATATTATTAAAGACATGCCCTATAACAATAATAATTTTAACAAAAATTCTTGGCAAAACAATCAGATTTTTTAAAAAGTCTTAAAATTTACCTATTTGAATTGGAGCATTTGCCCATGGATACCGGCATAAAGTACCTCTTAACTCTAGATGATTCATAATGATTGGTACACACAACTGAAATAATAATAATAATAAAATAAATTACATTTTGTAAATATACCATATAAATTTTAAGACAGATAAGTTAAAATATAATCAATTTAATCAAATAAAATTCATTATGAAACTAGATGTAAATAGCTAAGAAATCCTGATATGTGTAAATAATCAATAAATGGATGATCAACTATTTAGATAAAAATTTCAACCATTTATTTCGAAAATAAAGTTTAACTTTCACCTATATGAAAACTAATTACTAACGTGATTTTCAATTGTTATCTTTCAAACAAACTTAAATATTATAATTATAAAACTTTAATATTATTCAATATATAAAAATACTTTTAATTAATATATCACACTTACCATTCCTGGTGCAGCCATACAAACTCTGGAAAAATACGACTTGTGCAATTCCTTCTCTTGCAGCAACCTTAGAAGCACCTCGGTCTTTACCATGTTCATCTGTTAACTGAATACCTGAAAGATAAATTATTCATGTTTCATTATTATGAAGAATTCAAACACTAAATATATATAATACTTTACAAAATAATATTAATTTTTAATAAACTAGGAATTTATATATTTAAACAAGCCTCCAAAAGAACCTCAAATTCTTGCTGCTTATTTATTATTCAAACAAAGAATTCACTCTCTTAAATAATATCATTTAACAATTGTTATTTGCCCTATTATTACTTAATACTATAAGTTCTGATTCCCCTATACATTATTTATAAGATATATTTGATTTCCAGTATATCAATATAAATATGCAGCAGTAAAATCAAAAGTATATATTTCTTAAATTTTAAAAATAATAATACCATTTCGTAGTTCCTGCAAACGCATCATAGGCACATTGATGCAATTGGAAGCTGCAACAGCTGCAAAAGGAACAAATCGGCCAACTACAGGAGGAAACCGCTGAAAAAATAAATTTAAATTTATATACAAATTATTTTACTTATAAGAGACTAATTGCAGATTGCCCTGATTATTTAATACCATGGTGTAAAAATTCTGAGGATCTTATCCTAAGATAAGACCCTCAGATTTATTCATACCCATACCTTTACTAATTTATTCAATGTAAGAGCAGTACCCAAAGCACCTCCAGTAGCTAGTACATAAGATGTTAATAATTGTCTAAAACAATTATGAAGACAATTAGCTATATAGCACATAATATAGACTTTACTATAAATTATATTAATTTCTTTTACCCATTACTAATTTCGGAAGAACCTGATCTGTTTGTATAATTGACTAGAGCATTAAATGACTGATTGAGCCACTGCCAGAAGATAACAGCACCAGGTGATTTGTAGAATGTCATCATACCTAATTGTAAAAAATACAATTTATTTATATATGTATACAAGATGAAATGTTATGTATTTGATGTTGATTGATTACCTCCAGTAATAAGCATATTCATTGGAACTTGAGCAGACATTCGACCAATTAAGTTCATTTTTGCACCAGTATCAGGATGGTAAGCAGAATCATATAATGTTTTAGCTCGCCATAAATCTTCCACTGTTAATGTATTGGTAGTTTCTCTCCATTTCTAAAAAAATATGCAAATGCATCAGAAAATTATTTATTATTGGTAATAAGAAGAATAAATTAAGATTTCATAAAAAAAATGACCCTTAATATATTATTATATATATATTAGGGTGGTCCTTAAAATGGTCATTTTCGAATTTCCTTGCTCCCAGGGGCTCAATTGGTTTCAAATTGATAAAAAACAATTCTCTGAAAGTTTTAGCTCTTAATATTAACGTTTAGATAGAGCGCAATTCAATCAAAGTTTGTATGGAAAGAACAAGGAAAAAATTTGAAAGTTTAAATAAATGTTTTAGGTATAACTTAGCAACAAATGAATGAGTTTTATTCATTCATTTGTTCGCTAAATTAGATCTAAAAAACCTTTTTTAAATTTTTGAAAATTTTCCATGCTATTTCCATATAAAACTTTGATTAAATTGCGCTCTATCTAAACGTTAATATTAAGAGCTAAAACTTTCAGAGAATTATTTTTATCTATTTGGAACCATTTGAGCCCCTGGGAGCAAGGAAATTTGAAAATGACCCTTTTATTATTTGCATTGCATTATAATTATATGCAATAAGATTTCCTTCATAAGTATATAAAATAAAAATAAATAACAATCTGTTAATTAAATAGAAGAAACATGTAGATATAAATTAAAAAAAACTAATTGTTTCATAATTTAAAATATTATACTTGAAGTGATTAATATACATTATATATGTAACATATGTAGCATATATATGTAATGATATTTATTTATATATTATTTTTATATCTCAGTCGAGAGGGGTTTTTGGTATGAAATTAAAGTGTTTGGTAATGATATAAAATGTAAAATTGCTTACCTGTATTTAGTGACGATTTCTCGTGCATGTTCAAGCTGGCTATTTGTGGCAAAAATATTTAAGGATTTGTAGTGCCAAAGAAATGTCGTGCCCGATTCCAATACACACTGAAAAATAAACACTATACTTAATACGAGGTTCAAAATTCTTATTGAATTTCAACCTCTGATTCATATCATACACTTTATATATAATAACACAAACATATTTATAAATAGGCACATAAAATCGTAAAATTACTATATTATTATGTAGTGTATTAAATATTATCATTTATTATACCTTTGGTCATATCTTGGTTTATCAATATTAATATTCCTCGGCAAACATGGCCCTTTCAATTCTTTTACCTCTAAGTTATTGTTACTTAATGCAGCTGCTACATTTGATTCAGTATTTGGCGACATTTTATTCTAGATTTTATTGGATGAAAAATAATCTGCAAAATAAATGTTTAAGTTTAAATATGAGTTGATAACTTTCCAAGGAGATAAGCATGTTTGTAGTTAAGAGAAATATGATATGTATGTGATAAGTTTCTAAGTTATGTGCACTAGAAGATAATGGCTAATACAATACAATATAAATGAATTATAAAAATAGATTTATGTATAATGCACATGCAGTTATAAGTGAAGCTTTACATAACATTGCATGCTCATCAACATACAATTTTGCATACCTAATAAAAAATCCAATAAGTACTCTAAATGTTAAAAAAAAATAAACTTTGAATTAAAAGATATTTCTTCCTCAAAACTTGGTTTTGTTATGTGTTCAAATTGTTATAACTGGTTCATTATTTTTTCATGGATATGTATTCACTAAGCACAGATTTATGCTATCAATATATCGTAACAATCTTAGAACATTGTCACGCACATTAAATTTCAAATAAATGACCTGAATTTGACATTGAGTAAATTGAAAGTAATTTTTTTGGGTTATGACTAGTGTCAAGATTTTCGTGACGCGACCTTTGAATCCCCACTTGCATTTGATGCTGTCATCGTTCTGAAATGAAGTTAGATTTTCATTACTGCTAAAATTTTGAGATAAACTTTCAAAATTTGGAAACAAATGATAATTAATACACAATTGATTTAGTTTGGGGCAATTCAAAAATGATTGGTTGCATATTCATAATGTTTCATGCTTCCGCTTCCTGCTCAAAAAACGTGATACATTTCCGGTATTGGTCAAATTTGAAAATTTGACCCCAATGAATAAGTCAAATCTATTTCAAAGAAAATTATTGAATTGTTCTCAAAATGGGAATAATAGGTTGTTAACTTCTGAAAAGAGAAGTTTATGCTTTTGCTGGAAAGTCTGATTTGCTGATATTGTTTTTTCGACATTTCAAATCACTCTCCAAATTTTGAATACTAATATTGGAAAAAGCATGCGATTGAGCCAAAATTTGGCTTTTCGTCGTTATTTTATCGAAAAAGGCTGCACTGATTTCAAAAATTGATGTATCCCGACTTGAGTAGTTTTGCTGGACGATCGGTCAAACCGTTTCTTTGGAATTAGCAGAAAATTAAAAAAAACTCGCCGACGTTTTTGCAAAAAAACTTTGTACCAATTTGAAAAATTTAAAAGCCTTTCAAAATCATATATCAAATATCATATTCATATAAGAATCATGTTGATTCTTTATGACAAAGATCGGCCGGGCCGTTTCTTTATAATTAATTAAATGTTAAACTAGTGGTGAATGGCATTGTGCCTTGAAGCAAATTGCTAGAACTTCCCCTACCGTAATTTTTGATAGGGAACCCAAAAACACAACTGAGTTACCGCTTGTGGCACTACATTTCAAAAATTGATGTATCCCGACTTGAGTAGTTTTGCTAGGAAGCTCGGGTAGCTCACATTCACTCACATTAATTTTAAATTGTAATAAATTTCCAAAATCTAATTACAATTGATTTAATCAATGAATTCTGTTTATGTAACTCATCACTGTCGGTGAAAAGACTGAAATGCATTAAAAATGTGTAAAATATAAAATTGTGTAATCTTTTATGATTTATGTTTAAAATTTTCCTCAAATAATCAGACCATAAGGTTCTTAAAAAAGTTAATGCAATTACACTACAAAAATATTAGAAATTCACTGCAATAGATAAAATAAAACAATTTTTTTTTTGTATTTTCTTACATTTCATATATATAGACTTTGAAAAGACATAACATACATAAGGTAACAAACAAATGAATAGATAATGTAAATAAGTGGGTTATAAAAAGACTTTATATTCTAATTTTTTTTTTTACTTTTAATTGTCAGTCGGTCATTGCCTATTCATTTTAATAAAAACATTTACCCATATAATAATTAACAGCATATCTTAAGTATATGGTTAACATATGTTATTGATGGTGTGTGCTGGAGTTAAATATATATCATAGTGTTCAATCACAACTCGGTTCGATTTTATAAATATATTACCAAAAATTATATATATATATATATATATATATATATATATATTAACACAAAAATACAAAATTGCACAAAATATCTATTAAAATTTATCAAATCGAATAAAATAACAATTTTAATGTGGTCAAGTTTAAAACACTCATCTAGTATCAGCAACAGCATTTTCCTCAACAGATGGCAAGATTATTTCAGCTGATTTGTTTCTATAACAATTGAAATATTAAAATAAAATTATAATTACTACATAATTATTACTGCCTACCGTTCAACTGGTATAGGAGCAGAATTCGATCTGCCCGCTTTCACAAATCTTTCAGTTTTTTCTGCACGAGTTAGCTCATGGTCTTTTGCATCACTACTGGTCGTACCCAAGCTAGAAGTGCAGTATGAAGGATTTGATTTACAAAATTCTTTTACACTAAGAGAAGAAGCATTTCTTAGGAATGGATTCTGAAACATATGCAAAATAAACAAACATTTGAAAAATATTTTAAAATAAGATATTTCTGTGATGGAACAAAATATTACCTGGAATGAATGCTTTTTGAGCATTGTCTTAATTAAAATTAAGGTATCAAGTTTAGGAACACTTGTAACAACTTGTTGCAGTTCTTCATCAGTTACATAAACCAAACTGCAATTTTCATTTTCACTTGGTAATGGATCTTTTCCATCATTCGTGATCCAACTATGTTGTCTTATAGAAGACATAGGAAGACGGGACAATGGATTTTTGTTTAAAAGTGATATTAATAAATCCTTCAGTTGATCTGATATCTATACAAAATAATTCAAGGTTAAAATATTTCAGTATATTTTGTTGCTAGAATATTAATTATATTGAACTGAAATGTTTATATATAATGGTAAAGAAAAAATGCAAATAAAATGAACTAATATAATTGCAGTTATTTCACATAAATATATAAATAATTAGAAACTATTAGTGAACATGTGATGTGATAAATAATTACCTTTGGTGTTTCTGGTATGACTAGTGGATTGTTTTGTATGGACTCATATAAGGCAGGTAGAGAATTCTCTTTAAACGGAACATCACCGAAAACTAAGGCAAATAAGGTTACACCGAGGGACCAAATATCAGCAGCCTATAAAATACAAGATCAATAATATAATTTAAGTTTCCTAAATAAAAGACATACAAAAATTGTGATACTTTACCTTGCCACTGAATCCTCTAGTATCTTTTTGAAGGCTCTCTGGTGATCTAAATGCAGGAGTACCTCTTGAAAATTCAAGTTTGTCATCATTGCATTCTGATATGTCATCACAAACTCCTAAATCTGCAATTATAATCCTTCCATTCTCTCCAAGTAAAAGGTTGGCTGGTTTAGATCTCCATGAATTATACACTGATAATGTACTAAAAGAACATAATTTATAATTAAATTATTAACACAAAAGCTTGAATAGCAATCAAAACTTAAAAAAAAAAAGTTAACTTATTAAAATTATACTCACAATATTCAACACCCAAAATTACGTCTCTGAAACACTCTCTAGCTCTTTCTTCGCTAAGAGGAGTTTTTGTAGGGATATGTAAGATTTCACCGTTTTTCACTAACTCAAAAACTAAATACAAACTATCCTCTAATGGGTCGTCTAGAACCTAAATAAATAATACATAAATAATTCAATTAATTGTTCTCTAATTCTCTATTTTAATATTTCCTCAAATGTTATAATAGAAAAACAATTTTATAACAAGAAAAATTTTCTAATAATTTGAATTACAATTTTTTACATTAAAAATTAATGTTTAACAGATTAATGAAAATTACCTCAATTAATTTAACTACATTTGGATGGTCTAATTTTTTTAGCACAGCTATTTCTCTGTATATCCTTTCAAGAGGGTTTTTATACTGTCTCTTTGCATTCAATCTACCTCCAAGACCAGCTTTCCGTACTAAACGACGTTTAGATAATATTTTCATTGCATAATGAGTGCTATCTTCTTCAGAATATGCCAGCTTTACCAAGCCATAGGAACCCTTAAAAATAAATAAAATGATTTCAGATTGAGAAATAAATATATTGATTTCATCATTCAATAACAAATCAAAAAATGATTATATATTACTAAGTTTTTATTATAATTTGTATTGGAATTTAAAACCAACACTTATTACTGGAGTTTCAATTCTTCTCCTATATTACATCTAATTTTTATTTTATTTATTTATTCTAACCTGTCCAATCGATTCCATAAGCTTGTACTGATTCAATTGCAGAAAACTTCCTTGTCTTTCTATAGAAACTCTTTTACTTTCTCTAAGAGGTACTCTCTTTCTATTTGTTCGAGGGGAGCTATAGGGGCTATATGGAACATCAGGATAAATTGGTCTTGTCGCTGAATTTAGCTTAGATAATGGCGATTCATAACTTGTTAAGAAACTTGGAGAAACCGTATTATCTAGTGAAAGAGTCTTATTTGCAATAAGTAAATTTGATGCTGAAATATGAAATATATGATAAATAAACAATTATAACTTAATAATTATCCTATTATTTATACTTACTTTTGCTTTTTTTAACATCAATTGACGGATTATGTTGAGATGCCAACTTCGATAGAGCATCCGTGTTTGGTGTATTTTTAGAATTTTCAGAACTTCTTATATCTAATTTATCATTCAGAGAGTCAGTATGTAAAGTTTTCAACTTTTCAACCACAGTGAATTGAGTATTACTCGTTTTATCTAAAACTTTGTTTCTACCATTATTTATATTAATTTCATTAATGGTCTCTAAATTTTTCGAGTTAGATTCGAGATTCAAATTTTTTTCTTGATCTGTATTTTTGTCAGAGCATTTACTTATATTCAGGTAATTAGTTGGTGTAAAATCTTGATCCATACTCATATTTCGAACTAATTTACTTGCTGGTTTGTAAGTAGTCAATTTTGGTTCCATATTGTTTGTTGATTTATCCATTATATTATCAGTTATTCTAGTTATATCAAATATTTTATAATTCTAACTTATTTATATAACTTATTGGACTATTTGGTCAAATTTATAAAATTCTATATTATGGTTAAAATTTTGTCATTTAGTATCAAATCTGTTTTTCACTATGATAATGATATAATCAAAATTTAAATTTATTTAGTTTCTGCTAAAAACAAGTTGTGTAAATCATTCTTGATATTGTTTGTTTCAAATCTTGGTTCTCATTAATATTCATATTTATGTTTGCTTTAAATGTCAAGTTGCATAATATGACAAAAACTTGTTGATCATTTTCTGAAATATATTATGATTCATTAATACTAAATTCATGATCTTAATAGTTTCCATACAGTATAATAATAAATTTTTTTGAATTTCAATTAATATTGATTAAAATTTATAGTGCGACATAGCGCAACACAAAGTTTTGAATTTCATGTTTAGTGAAAATGTATTTATTATAGAATATTATAAATAATCTACAAATAACTAACGCTGGTTGCTTAAATTATTAACTGCAAATATACTAAAGAATTTTAATTATATTCATACTACATTCTTAATAATTTATTTACCTGTTGCAAAGTGATGTTTTTCACATTTTTTAACATTTATTCACTTTTTTATAAGAATTGTTTTTTAAGATGTAATTTTGTGCAATGACACTTTGCCTAACCTTACTTGTGATGTCATCATATAAAAAACAAGATGAAAATTTAAGACGGGAAAGAGATGACGATGTTGACGCCTGTTTCTCAAACTGCGATGATTTAAATTTAAGTCGCAATAGATTTAAAATAGATTCTGAAAATACTGTTAGCGATAAAATATGCATAATTTTTTATAATTTGGTAATACGACATTGAATAGATAAAGAACGTAATTAAAATAACAAGAGGGACAAGAACAACACATTATAGACAGATATTTTGTTGCAAATTATAAGTGTATAGAGATTATTAATAATATTAAGAAACTAAACAAGCTTAAAAAACATTTTCTTAATGAAAATATTCAATATATACATTTACTTCAAATTCGAATTTGATCGTTGTTTTATTTATGAGACAAGCTAAGCTATCAATATGAAAAACTGTCAGTCAATAATATAAATGTATTAATGTTAACTATTTTATAGATTAATAAATTGCCTTTTATTTGCCAGCAAGAATTTTATTTATCTGGACAAGCATTTTGCATCTCAAAATGCTCAATTTAGTTAACAAATAATCCGCTAAAGCGCTAGTGATGACAAAAATACAATTCCCAACAATATGCAAGTGTCTCATCTACAAATGTCAATTGTGTATTGTTCTTTGATGTTGTTATCAAAGTTTGGCCTTTGTCTTTCAAAATATTAATTTTCCAAAAACATATACCAAACGTATTTGCACAAAATTTATTGTACGTTTTAGAATAGTATATAAAATTCATGTGTCCATAAAATATTATAAATAAGTAAATTTCCAAGTTTTCACACAAATTATTGAGTAAGCCGAAGCCTCTTTAATGCGCCATTGCGTTTTAATTATAGTGTTTTAAACAGCAAAAATCTTGATTCTACATCATTAAAATGAGCTTCAACGATAAACAGTCGAATTCATTCCCAAAAGATGAATGTGCAAATCGATTAGAAGGATTGCATGTACAGAGATCTGACATGAATAAATTGATAATGAATTATCTTGTCACAGAAGGCTTTAAAGAGGCCGCTGAAAAGTTCCAAATAGAGGCCGGTGTAGGTACTTCGATGGAGTTAAATTCTTTAGACGATAGAATATTAATAAGGGATGCAATACAGTCTGGACGTATTCAAGAAGCTACAGTATTAGTAAATCAGCTTCATCCCGAGTTGTTGGATAACGACAGGTATCTTTATTTCCATTTGCAACAACTACATTTGATTGAACTTATAAGAGCAGGCAATGTGGAAGAAGCACTCAGTTTTGCCCAAAGTCAATTATCAGAAGCAGGCGAGAGCAATCCACAAGTTCTGAATGAATTAGAACGTACTTTAGCCCTACTGGCCTTTGAGCAACCTCATTTAAGCCCATATGGTGATCTTTTACAACCTATGCATAGACAGAAAGTTGCTAGTGAATTGAATGCTGCAATTTTAAAGATGGAACATCAAGAATTCACAAGTCCAAAGCTATCAAATTTGCTAAAAATGATACTTTGGGCACAGAATGAACTTGATAAGAAAAAAATCTCTTACCCTAAGATGACTGATCTTGCTAAAGCAAAGATAGAAAAAATCTAATGGTTTTTGCTTTAAACTTCTTTGAAACAACTAAAATATTTGGGTTTTAACTCATATAGAAAAAAACTAAGTATTTTGAAATCTATATGCTAATTGAAAATCTTAGCATGAAGAAATAAAACACACATTTATACATTTGTGAATAATAAATTGTTATGGAAAATGGTACAGAAGAAAAATCATATAAATGACTAAGAAGACATTATATATTTATTGACAAATTATATTTAATAATTTACTTTGTTCAGTTTTATTCACTGAAAATGTTAATTGGTCTGAAATTGCAATATGTTTAAATGGTTTTTAATATATATCAAAATCAAACTATGTGTTTCATTTCATTGTTGACAATGTAAATTTTGAATGTTTTACCTTTTTAGTATATTTTTTATATGTAGGACTTGAAAACTTGGTTAAAGGCCAAATCAACACATTTTTTTATTCTTCTGGCCTACAACTCACATATTAATTATTTAGAAAAATAATAGTAAAGTAATAAAGTGTAAATAATACGAGGAACATATATTCATAAAAATGAATGAATAAGTGTAAAAGTATCCCAATTTTTGGGGAAATTCAATTTTAAAAGAATAAATAATATATTTTTAAGAGCATAACTTCAATATATTTCTCTACAATTATAGAAGTGTATGTTTATATAAATTCAAAACAAACTAATAATTTTAATGAATAACTCAAAAGTAACAAAATATTGGATTCTGGGTTTTACTATACTACCTTATATATTATAATATCTTGATATACATAAAAAATTTGAGAGATATGTTTTTAATAAAATAATGTATAAAATTACATACTGCACATAATGAATACCTTAGACACAAACGTATTGCATTTGATTTTTACCTGATTAAAGCAATGAGACATCTTTTGTAATCACCTGAGCAATCATCCTAAAAAAATAAATATTAGTCATTATTAAAATATATATATATATATATATATATATATATATATTTATTTATATATGCTCAATAATAGAAGAAATACCTTGATGAAGTCTTCAAGAGTATCTCCATATTCAGAAACAAAAGCTTGTTTGATGTCTCCCATATCGACTTCACACCGAGTAACCACAATTCGAATCAACTGACTGTCATTAGTTCCAAGACCTTTCATACTTTTGTACAGACGTTTAGCAAAAAATTTTGCTTTGTTATTTACTGATTCCACTGTTGAATTTTCATTGAATATAATAATTATTATATTTTTTTCAAGAGCATTTAAATTTCTTATTAAAGATTTTTTAAATAATTACTAGTGTTAGTAAAATAATTAATTGAAATCTTTTGGAGAAAGAATCTTATAATTAAATATATATACCTATAGCCAATAAACCATCTTTAATATCTCCAGAGAATTCTGATTTAATAGCATGTTCAATGCTATGTCCAACAATTTTTTCATAACAATCAAAAACAGCACGAAGTTGTGGATAACTTCTCTGGCACAAAATCATATTGAAAGTTGATTCGTCAGTACCAAAATATTTTAGTTCTCCTGAAATATTATAAAAATATATTTTATTTTATGGTGCATCATTGTGACAAAAAAACAGATTCAAGATATATTAATATGCAAATATCATATATTAAAGATATAATAATAGCAAATATTAATATGCTGATAATGAAATAGGTTCACCTGCTTGCAACAGCTGTTGTGCATCAACCATTGCAGCGTCTTCATCAACTTCAATACTTTCATCTCGATTTGCCTACAATTAAAAATTATACAATCATAAATATATATATATATATATATATATATATATATAATTCCAAACATTCACTAAGGTAATACATCAATTTATCCACTTACATTACATAATGATACCATAAGCCTTCTAAAATTTCCTGATGTCTCTCCAATCAACTCATCTTCCAAAGATTTCCCATACGCTGTGGAATTAGACTGATTAATTTTTATCAAGATTTTATTTTACTAAAAAATGAAAAAACTTACTTGATTCATAAGCATTTCTAACTGTTTGAAGTTCTAAGTTTGTCATTGTACAGAATACTTCGATTAAAGTTTCCTCGTCAGTTCCTAGGCCTAAAATGAATTTGTATATTTCAAATTTAATGCCTTACCATAAATATTTGAAATAATATTAACAAACCTTTCATGGCTTTCTCTAATTGTTTAGCAATATAAACTGGTAACGGTGTCATCAGAGCTACAACTAATTTTTCAAAATTACCAGTCAACTCACTTTTCAAATTGTTTATCAGATCCTATTAATAAAAAAACTAATATTAGCAATATGGTAAAATCAAAATGTAAATTAAAACATACTTTTCCATATAATGTTTTGAATTCCAGCTCAATTTGTTGTCGTTGTTCATTTGATCTATTAGTTAGAACTCCTATGATAGCCTTTTCATCAGTACCAAATCCTTCAATGTAATAAAAATTTAACTAATATTAAACTAAATTAAATTTATCTCAGTATTACCTTTCATGGCTTTTCTTAATACTTCAGCATCAGCCCTTGGATCGAAATCCTCTGCTGGGAAAACAGTGGGCGAAGGCTGTAATAATATATTATAAAATGAGAAATGATTAAAAGAAAAAAAAAGTGGATTTTTATGCGTTGTACAAGTAAATTTAAGTATAAATAAATATTATATATTAATAATTATACTTATTATACACATTATTATAATTATTAAAATTAGAGTAATACTTACAGGATAATAGAAACTCATTATGGTAGTCGTTAGTGTACAACCTTGTATTCTGAAACACACACATATTCATTAAAAGGTAATCCAAAGTAATTATTTTTGGCAGAAACACAAACAATATAATAATCAATATGGTAATATATATTTACAGCATATTTAAAATTGAATAATTAAATAAACATGTGAATTTATTCATAAAAAAATATAGCACCTCAATAATATTAATAACCGCCCAATAAAGATAATCTCAAGGATAGATAATTTTCTCTGATGGCTTATACACTTTTTATTTAATCATTTTAATAATCTCTAATTATTACGTAAAAATTTCAATATTTAAAGTAATGATAAATAATTTGTAATTTTTAATTTTGATCAGATAGAAATATATATGATTATTGGATTAGATAATAAAAAAATGCGATAGAAATATGTATATTTGTTACCAAATTGATTTTTAACTTAGTAATCGCAAAAAAAATCAAAAATGAATTATTTTATATATCTTTACGTTTCAAGAGTTTCTGAACATTTTGGCATATCATAGAAAAAATGGATGTGTGTGTGTATGTGTATGTGTGTGCGGATACAAATTTTCGTCGACGATTCCGGGAACACCGATCAACCGATTTCGATAATACAAAAAACATTCGATTCGTATTAATAAGGAGACGTGCTGATTGGTTTTTGGCAAAGACAGGTCCACCCGTTACGGATATACGGGGCAAAAATTGTCAAAAAGGGTAACTTAGATTTTAAGAGAACGAAGCGTCCGATTTTAATAATTCAAAAAACCTTTTACTTGTATTGACGAACTGATTAAATTTTTGGGATGGCAGGCCCAGCGGTTATGGACTCTCAATATATAATATATAGAACTATCGATTTTACAGTACAACCGACAGACTTCAACATGCAACTAATTACTTATTTACAAAAGTAAATATTTCATGTCCTAGAAATGAAACAAATCAATATTAATACTGATGGCAATAAATAGATAAAACTATTCGAACAGGTTTAAAAAAACTTTACAAGCAACTGTTTATAAAAATATGCGTAGTTTTCTTCATAGTCAATCGGTATATTTCATTATCCTGTGGTGAAGCTCAAGAATAATCACTTAACAAGATATCCTCATATTTAAATAGAAAATTAAGATGAAAAAATGTTTGTCTTTAACCAGATTTGATAAAATAATCATGTTTATCCCAGAGATCAAATGAAAAACCGAAGTATTTACTTTGCTTCATGTTTAACACCTTAATAAGTTGTTTATGGAATGTAAAACTTTCCATTGCTGATAACAATTGTTATTTAAAGAATTAATTCTCCAAACAGAGGTTTGCTAAATAGAGTTGTTTGCATAGCCTGTTTGATGGTAATGATGGTATCTGGTTTTCTGAAGCAATAGGCAATTTAATATTTTGGATTTTGGATAAATACATATTTATCAAGCATTGATATAAAATTTTATCGACAGATCTTAAATAATGCAAGGAAGTTGTTCATAAATATTGTATATATCTTAATATATAATTATATATATATTATCAAAGCTTGGCGATCAGGGGCTTATGGCGAGTATGTTCCTTTTCCTATAATGCCATTTATCTGATTAGGTAATATATTTTTTACTCTTATAATAAATGTTTATAGCTGTTTTATTTCGTTCAATTATTTTAGTACTATTATTAAATAAAATCAAATATCAAACCCGTAGGATAAGTTATAGTAATGGATCAATAATCGAAATTTTTTGCATTTTTTAAATCGACGTTTTAGAGGTTTCTGAACACAAAAATGGATGTGTGTGTGAAATTTTCGTCGACATTTTCGGGAGTACCGCTCAACCGCTTTGAATGATTCAAAAAATATTCTATTCCTATTGATAGGGAGATGTGCTGATTAGTTTCTGGCAAAGGCAGGTCCAGCCGTTTCGGAAATACGGAGCAAAGAGTGCAGGAAATAGAAATCTTGTTTTTGAGAGAACGGAGTATCCGATTTGAATGATCCAAAAATCATTATGCTTGTGTTGGCAAAACAATTGTTTTTGGAAAAAAAAACTTTTTTTTTATTTTTTTTGTATATCAAAAATATTTCAGAGTATAAATTTTGGCAGGCAGCAAACCCAAATAAATCCAACGTCAATAAAAAAAAAATCATATTGCTCCCTACAATGAGTATTCAAACCCCAAATAGGGCATGCAACATAATAAATACATACTGTGTAAATTATTCTCCCGGCTACACCCATGAATGAATATACTTGGAACAACTTATACAATTATATCTTGTTTTTTGGAAAACATTTTTATAGGCAAATTCATGAAAGAAGATGTGTAAGTAATTATATCACTCATTAAACAAGTGATTCATAGAAGCAATATATAGAAATAGAATTTAGGTCTTTCTGGTATAAATATACAATAATTGTAACAAACTTACCAGTCAAGAGAACTTTAACAGAGAACTTATTTATCTTTTTATTTTTTACACAATCGACAATATTCCGATTTGTACACCGATCACAAAATCACTTTACCGAGAAAAAAATCTAAAAATATACACTTGTTGCATCTAATACTCATTTAGCAAAAAATACAAATGATACGTCAAACAGCAAACATGAATCAGATACCACGTGACCTGGTCACGTGGGAGATCTCTGTCAATTTACAATATGAGAGATCTATGTCAATTTACAATATGATAGATCTTTATCAAGATACAATTAAATATAGGAAAAAACTATTAACTATTAATTAATATAAAATGATCTATATTAAGGATCAGAATCTACTATCAAAAACTTTCACATTTCATTTATAAAATGCTTTGTTTAAGATTATACACATCATATAAATTATATATATTAGGAACATTATTTTTGTGTTGGCACATATGCATAATTCTGTGGAGCAAACCTCGCTATTTAAATACATTATTAAAAAATACAATATTATAACTCAATAATAAAAGGATACTGTATAAACTGTATGCATACTGGAAATAAATTAAGAAATTATGCTTAAATCCTATAAAGTAAGAATAAGTTATCAACAAATAAAGCAAAAGAATATCGAGATTTATGATAAAGATTGGGAAGCATATGTTGCAAATTGAGATTGTTAATTTATATTTTATAATTTAATGATATTTCTTAATAGTAACTCTATTCGAAATATAGTTATATATTAAATACAATTTTAAGCACAGAACATCAACATCAGTTACATACCAGTAAAAAAAAACAATCCATCAGCTTTAATACTTTTATTTTATATATTAAATTCATAATGTAAAAAATTGCCTAAAACACAACAACATTATTCAAATTTCTTTTTGAGTCTCTGACGAAACAGAACAGGCACTAAAGACCCCACTGCTAGTCCTCCTAGCACCAAAACCGAATTCAATGATAATGTACTTGTAGATGTGAGATTATTGAGAGTTTTACCAGCTTGTATAGCCAAAATGGACGGAGGCATAACACCTAAAATTAATAATATTGTTATTCCTGTTTCAAGTCTAATTTCTTTATATATAATACTCATTTACCGAATAAAGTACCAAATGCAAAAGGAAACAATGGTACTCCAACTACAGGGGCCACTAAATTAATAAACCAATTTGGCAGCAAAGGAGTTATTCGTAAGAACAACATATAATTGAATAAATCATTTTTATTACGATTGACTGTTTTTGCCCATTCAGCTGCTCGTTCAGGGAAATAATGTTTTATAATTTTTCTTCCTAGTAATTGTGATAGCATATAACACAATGATGCGCCCAATGTGGAGCAGACACATATCAAAGTTATTGCTGTGATAAATGGGAACAAAAAGCCTGACAGAATAGATAAAAATAATGAACCCGGTATTGCAAATGTTTGCAAACTAATAAATACATAAGGAATAATATAATTTTAATTATATTACAATATATAATTATTTGAGTAAGGATACAATACGTAAACCACACAGATTCCAGATAAAACTTCAAAAAAATATCTATCTTTGTATCGCTCCAATACAACACCTAATTGTTTTGCCTCTTCTATATCCCATGGTAATTTTATGAACTTTTTTTCATAACTAAAATTGGTATAAATCATTCATAAAGTTGAATAAACAGTTGATAGGAATACATTGAGGATTTACAATGATTCTGAAGACAAAAATAAGCATACTTTTATTAAATTTTTTACTTTAAAATGATTATTTAGATACTCAAAACAAATTGAACTTAATAGTTCAAAATATTATTAAAAGAATTACAAAAACAACATTTTGATTAGTTTATAATAAATTAATTTATAAATGCAGATCTATCATTATATATATATATATATATATATATATATATATATATATAATATACATATCTGTATAATGAATATAAATGTGAATCTTTAAGCAGTAACTAAATTATTTTAATGAAATCCAAAGGAACATGCAACTACAGTTGTAACCCTTTTAATATCGACAACAGAAAATTGACTTTTAATACAGACACTTATTTTTGTAATATCAAAATCATAAGCAACTCCTCAGAATTGATCTTACTCTTCTAAAGGTGGAAAATTCATATAAATTAATGAAACTGCTACTAGTGAAGTAATGAATATAATTAACACAGCTATTGTTGCTTGGGTTGTATTCAAGCCATTGTCTTCTTCATCTGTAATATTTCAAAAATGAAGATAGAATAATAACATTTTATAATGAAAGTAAAAAAAAGTAAAATCAGGAAAGCTTTAAAGGAACATACACTTAGGATTTGATCGGGATGTAGGATCTCTAGGATTTGCATAATGTCGTTGATTTACATGAGTTACTTGAGTTAGGAAATTTCGTTCGTGGGAGATTTTTAAATTTGACAGATTTCTTTCGAACGTAGAAGAAATTTCTTCACACATAATTGGTTTGTCACCTTCTCTTCGTCTTTGTTGTTTCATTTTTTTAACTTATTTAATAATTTAACTAATTAAAAATTGTTAAAAGTTTTTTTACATCTGCGTAAAGTATATTATTCAAATGTGCTAATCATTGCAAAATTATTTAACTAATTTAAACAAAACTTGACGTGTTGTGACATAAGACACCATAGATATAAAATTGTACTAAGTATATTACCAACCCTTATGAAAACAATTTTCGAATTTATTGACGAACGATGAACGCTCCTCTATTGACAAAATGGCGAACGAAAGTTATTTAATGCACTTTGTAAATAACTCAAGTTTTTGCAATAAGTATTTATTTATTAATTCATTGGCCTTCATAAGTATATGAAAGTGATAAAATAAGTAAATTTTGTTATTCAATGTAAGTTACACTACAATTTGCAAGCAGCTTGTCTATATGCTAAAATCAAATGTTTATATTGTATTGTAATTACTTAAAATTGTAACTTTGTAAATTCTTATTTTGTTAATTGTAAACGAATGTTTCTGATTGTTAATAAATATTCTTGTCTTGTTAAGCAATAACCATCAATGAAGATTAGATCTAATCCTAAACTCGAGTTTACTCACCATTTACAAAGATTTTGAAATTTTAAATTTTAAAGTTGAAGTTTTTTTTTAAGGACAAATTTTGCTATGTATATCCAAATCTTTATCGAAATGATTTTATTTCTTTTTATAAAATTAACTTGGTAATTATCGGCAGCACTGATTTCGAAAATATAAAATTCATTTTATGAAACTCGGTAAGGACTTGTCGATTTCATTGATCAAGATTGATGCATTTCAAGATTGCATTGATTAGTTCTTATTATAGATATAGATAGATATAAGCATAATTCTCATTATTATTATTGAAATAGTTATGGTTTTTATTTATAGTGAAAGCAAAAGTATAATTTTAAAAATAAATACGTGGTTAAAAATTCAAACAGAATTATTTACGTATATGTATTCAGCAATGTAGCTGCTCACTAATCAATACTACCAACAGAGAACGCGAAACTGAAGAGATCCTTTTCAGTTTGAAGTATGATATCTTGCCCAGGTATGAAGCTATTCCGAAATAAATTTGTTTATTGACCGATTTCTGTCACGTCCGTCTCGTAATTTTTCATATTTTTAAGATCTCATTTTCACAATATGAAGATTTTAATAAAAGTACTAAAAGGAAGTGACTGTTGGTTAGAGGTACGTATCTAAATCCTTGTTGAAGTAAAAATAATGAAATGCAATAGTTTCATTTAGACAGGTGTTATACAAATAAAAAATATACTAATTCAATCCTGAGTTATAGATTATAGAAATATTTTTTAGCATTCTATTATCACTATATTTGATATTTATTTTTATTGCAGGTTAACAAAGACACAACAATAAAACAAATAAAAAATGAAGCAATGTCTCGTTTAAACATATCTGGACCTCAACAGACATTGCTTTTAGCAGGGAGGCCCCTTATAGATGAAAACTCTGTCGAATTTTATGATAGCATAAAAGAAGGAACAAAGTTATTACTAGTGATAAAAAAACAAGAAGTTCTAAATTTAAATGATGAATTAGTAAAATATTTCAAAAAATTCTACAGTGATGAAATGGCTCAACAATTTGCTAAAAGTTTTATGATTGAATTTAAAAGAAAAACTGCTTTATTAAGTTTAGATGATATAGAAAGATTAGCTACCTCAGATGCACTGTAAAATGAAATAATTTGTGTCTGTTATTACGTTATTTTAAATTTTAACAATTGTGTAGGTATGACTTCCATTATTTATATTTCTATAATAAAATAATATTAAATCAATGATTTAAGTATTTCAATTTTTAATGTTCATGTTTCTCTCTGTGCGGAACAACTAAATCCAGTTAAAATTTTAAGGAGTTGCATATAATAGTTGATCATTTTTCTAGAGCATATTATATTGACTACATATAATAGTTTCTTTTCTGTACATTCAATATAAAAACTAAGTATTTTTAGATGTTTAATTATGTTTTCATTTTTCTGTATCATATTTTTCAACTATTATATTACTGAATACTTTGATAAAAGGTTTATGCTAGTAACAAAATTGTAATTTTTTTCCAAATGATTACATTATATTAGAAATTGAGAGAATTTAAAAATATAATTAGAAATTTATTAATTGCTTGATTATAATCTTCATAGTAGTTCTAAATAACTGCTTCAACCATGTAGATGTAGCTATGAGAGGCCATATATATTGATTTAACAAGTTTATTGGAGAGGGCTCAACTTATAATAACCTAGCCCACACCAACAAATTATTTATATATATTGCAATGTCAAACAATTACAATAAAAATGAGAGTACCTTTTACTGTGAATATAAACACTGTTTTTGCTTATCAATCAACAAATAATATTTCATCAGATAGAAAAGTTAAATCAGAAGATTTCTCGTGGGATAGTAACACTCCAGAGGCCTTGGCAAGTTTATGCATTAAAAGAATAGCATTAACTTGGGCAGGTAATTTTGTATGATATACATTAACTTTTTTTTAAATAAATAATAGATCATAATATATATGGGAAACAAATAACCATATTTGTATTAGTGCTTGAAATGAAAATAATTCCATTGGATTAACTCAAATATTTATTATAATCTTGAGTAAATGGACTGTGTTAAAAAAGGTATAACATATTCACAAAAAGGTAAAGACATTATAAATATTCACATTATTCAATACTTTTTTGTAATACAGATCATTAAAACCTAATAAATGCTCAACATTTTAAATGAAAAATCTATGTACAATCTAAAATTAAACAAAAGATAAAACTTATATTGTACTGAATAGTTTTTGACTTTTCCTATATTAATGTGAATTTATTTACAATACAGATTTAATTATTTATAAAAATTATACCATAGATGAATAAAATTGGCTACTTAACAGTGGCATGAAACTAAATCTTTCCTCACAATTTATCAACAAATGGCGATTAGCTAAATTCTAAATTATATTTGCATGCTATTATATATATATATATATTTATATATATTGCATGCAAATATATATATATATATATACTATATATATATATATATATATATATTATATAATTGCATCATATCTATCATATCCATGATTTGAGAAGAATGTTATTCTTATGGAATTATTAATTATTATTAACAATCATCAAGTCCATAGATTTTTTATATTGTCTGAACTCTCTGCCACAGAATCATATTCTTTTGTCAGTTCATTCACCATTTTTCAATTTCTTGCTATCCACTTTAGGTTCTGCAGCAACAGTAAAACTTTTCAAATAGCGGCAAAGTTTATCTTCATAATAAAGACAATCAAAATTTCTGATTTTTTAAATTGAAAAGGTTTTATGGGAGATAGTGGAAAGACTTTCATGTCTCTGTATAAATTATTTATTCTATCCATTAATGATCCATTGTTGCATATATCATCATCATCTTCAACTTGTGTGAGCTCTACTTGAGATACATCTATCAGAGCTGCAGTTTGATCAACATCCATGTACATTGTTGATGATGCAATGTTTTCAACAGCTGATACTGTTGGTGCTTCGGTAATATGTGGATATGGTTGAGCACTGTATTTAAAAAATTGATGTGAAGGCATGTTGCTTGAATAATATAATGGTGTTTGAGTCGAGTTGTTTGAAAGCAAAGTACTTCTTTTGGCAATGATACTGCTTTCATCTTTGTTTAACCCAGATGTTATATCGAATATAGAAGGTGTAACAGGGTTTGTTCTCTTTTCTATAACAGTTGATGATTCTAATTGTGGTTTCAATGTTTGTTGCAAATTATTTTGTAAAAGGGAAGAATTGGTTCTGTTAATCATAAAAACTATTTTTGTTTTGGCTTAATATAGATGCTGAATCAAGAGCATGAACTTCATTTGAACTTAACTGTTTTACTACATTTGAATCTAATTGTCCTGAAGAAGTCTTATAACTTTGACCTGTAGCAGCATTATTAGATTTTATCAATGAATTTTGTTCCAAAATATTTGGTGGCAATAATTGGTTTTTATTATGTATTGTACTGCTTTCATCTTTATTAAATCCAAGACTAAAATCAATAACAGAATGAATATCTGTTACCACTTTCATAGATCTTGTTAGTGGTGTTTGTTTCAAATTATTTTCAAGAAGTTCATTATTTTTGCTCATCATGATACTGTTTTTCAGTACTATTGAACACTGAAGTTGTTGAATTGTTCTTTTTGTTCACATTTTAATTTGATTGTGGAAAAAAAGTTTTATAACATTGCACTAGAGATTCATTATTTGCTTTTAATAATGAGGTTTGATTTAAATTATCAAGCAGTTTGGAATTATCATTCATGATACGATTGTCGTCTTTGTTTAACCCAGATGTTAAGTCAAATGCAGAAGGTACATTAGGTCGCAAGTTACATAGAGCCTCAGTCCTTTCAGATTTCATTATTTATTTCAGAAGTGCATTCTAGTGCAGGAATTAAACTCTTACTAGAATTGCATATCTAATTTTGATAAAGCATTGTCATTGAAAATTGGAATATTATATCTAAGGTCTTTCTTTCAATTATTCTTTTGATCACCAAATATTATACTTGTACATTTCTTGGAAAATGTTGATTATTGGTTTCAGCATTGTTTTGATTATTCAATTGCATATTCAGAGATTTGTGTTATTTCTTCAGCTTCAGGTCTCACATCGTTACCATTGCTTCAAACTTGAACTGATGATGCTGAAACTTCAGATTTAATTTGTAATGCCGGAGATAAAATATTGTTTAAAAGATGATTCGTAGTCAAAACTGTTTGCTGTGTATGAACAGCTTCTGTATCATTAGAACATGCTTCAGGATTTTCTCAAAGTTTGGATATTTCCATACGACTGCTTTACATTTCATCAAGGATGTCTTACTTACTGCATTATTAGAAAATTTATCAATAATAATATTATCATCATTTTTATTACTGAATGATGAGCTTTTCTCCATAACAGAAGGAACAATGGGTTGCATGTTACATAAAGCCTCAGTTCTTTCTGATTCATTATTTTTTCAAAAATATTTCTCATTGTATTGCTTTCTGAGGAAATTAAGTCTTTATTAGAATAGCACTCATCATGTTGTCGTAATTCATTGGTCTTCAAAATTGATGTTCTTGAAGAGTCATATCATATCATTATCATGCTCTTCAAATACAATAGTTTTTTCGTTATTTGTTTCGACCCCAACACCTGGAGATGTATTATCACAAAGAGTCAGATT